TGAGGGGAGGGGGCTGGAAGCGGGGAGAGAGCACCCCCCGTCATTTCAAGGGAGGGTCGAACCAGGGGCGCAGGCGAATATTGCAAGGTCGAACCGTCCCCCCTGGCAACCGCCGACAACGGCGAGCGCCGGCACCGTCGGGCAGCGAGGACGACGACGAGAACGAAGACGAGGGCGAGTGCGAGCGCGAGGGCGAGGGCGACCGCCCCCCTGGCAACCGCCGACAACGGCGAGCGCCGGCACCGTCGGGCAGCGACGACGACGACGAGAACGGAGACGAGGGCGAGTGCGAGCGCGAGGGCGAGGGCGACCGCGATGATGATGATGATGATGATGATGATGATGATGATGATGATGATGATGATGATGATGATGATGATGATGATGATGATGATGATGATGATGATGATGATGATGATGATGATGATGATGATGATGATGATGATGATGATGATGATGATGATGATGATGATGATGATGATGATGATGATGATGATGATGATGGATGATGATGATGATGATGATGATGGGGTGGTGGTGGTGATGATGATGATGATGATGATGATGATGATGATGATGATGATGATGATGATGATGATGATGATGATGATGATGATGATGATGGTGGTGGTGGTGGTGGTGGGGGTGGGGGTGGGGGTGGGATGGGGGGGGGGTGGGGGTGGGGGTGGGGGTGGGGGGGGGGGGGGGGGGTGGATGGGGATGGGGATGGGGGGGATGGGGATGGGGATGGGGATGGGGATGGGGATGGGGATGGGGATGGGGATGGGGATGGGGATGGGGATGGGGATGGGGATGGTGATACTGATAGTGATGGTGATGGTGAGGATGGTAATGGTGATGGTGATGGTGATGGTGATGGTGATGATGATAGTGATAGTGATGGTAATGATGATGGTGGTGGTGATGGTGATGGTGATGGTGATGATCATGGTCGTGGCCATGGTTCTGGTGATGATTATGACGATTATGTTCATTATGACGATGATGGAGTGGATGATGATGACGACGACTACGACGACTACGACGACGAGGATCGATTGGTAGGCTGCGATTCAGGCTGGATCGAGCCCTGGTTGGATTCAATTTGAGCTGGATCTTGCTATGGTCGGATTTTAGTCGAGCGGGATCGAGCATTATTATGAACCCCAGCTCTCTCGCTCGCTCGCTCACTCGAGCAATCGAATGGGCGAGCGAGGGGACAGATCCCCTCCTTCCCTCGCTCGCTCGCTTGCTCGAGCGAGCGAGCGAGCACGCGAGCGCCAGGCATTTGATCTCCCGCCCGCCCGACCAGACCCGCCCGACTCGATCGCTCTCTCGATCGTTTGTTCGAGCGAGCGAGCAAGCGAGCACCATGCATCAATGACCCGCCAGGTCGAACCGACCCTCAGTTGCTTCAGCAGGGCTCCTTTCGACTCCTCCGATTCGACTCGATTCGATTTCGAGGGGTTCCGATTCCGATTCGATTCGACTTGGGATTCCGACTTGGGTTCCGAGTTCTCAATGAAGGCCGACTATGCTGCCCATTTCCGCCGATTCGACTTCTCCCGACTCGGCTGCCGACTTACGCCGATCCGATGCATTTCGATTGCCGATCCGACTTCTCGATTCGATTCTGGGCTCTGCTGCTTCAGCGAGCGGACGAGCGAAAAGACCCCCTCCTTCCCTCGCTCGCTTGCTCGAGCGAGCAAGCGAGCACCACGCATTCAATGTTCCACCCGACCCGCCCGACTCTTCTCGCTCGCTTGCTCGCGCGAGTGAGCGAGGGGACCGATTCCCTCCTTCCCTCGCTCGCTCGCGCGCACACTTGCTCCAGCCAGGGAACGCGCGAGCAAGCGAGCACCATGCATTTGATGACCCGCCTGCCCAGACCGAACCACCCAACTCGCTCGCACGCTTGCTCGAGCGGACGCGCGATCAAGCGAGCACCGTGCATTTATTGCCTTGCCCGACCAAACCGAGGAGCCCGACTCGCTCGTTCGTTTACTATCGCTCGCTCGTTTGCTGAAGCTGGCGAACGAGCAAGCGAACACCATGCACAACATGTCCCGCGCGCCCCACCCGACGGGCCCGAATCTTTCGCTCGCTTACTCGAGCGAGCGCGCGAGCGGGAGGACGGACTCCCCACTTCCTTCGCTCGCTCGCTCGCATGCTTGCTATGACTAGCGAACGAGCGAGCAAGCGAGCACTATCATTCAATAACTCGGCCGCCCACACCGAACCGCCCGACTCGCTCGCACGCCTGCTCGCGCGGACGAGCGAGCAAGTGAGCATAATGCATTCAACGTCCCGCCCGAACCGCCCCGCCCGACTCGCGCGTTCGCCCTGCTAAAGCTAGCAAGCGAGAAGCGAGCACCATGCATTCAATGTCCCGCGCGGCCCACCCGACCCGCCCGACTCTCTCACTCGTTTGCTCGAGCGAGCGGGCGAGCGGGCGCACCGACTCCCCACTTCCTTCGCTCGCTCGCTCGCTCGCATGCTTGCTCCAACTAGCGAACGAGCGAACAAGCGAGCACTGTGCATGCTATGCCCCACCGCCCGACCTGAACCGCCCGACTCCCTGGCTCGCTCGCGCGCTCGATCGAACGAACGACCGAGCAGGTGAGCACCATGCACTCAATATCTCGCCCGCCCAAGCCCACCCGCCCGACAGAAGGGGGTCCGATTAGGGTAGGATCGAGCCCGACTAGGATGCCAGTGAATTTGGATCAGATCTAGCTGGATGCCACCAGAGCTGCACCGGGTTCTGGTTGGAGCGGATCAGATGTTGATCTCTCTATGGCAGGGCGACCTTCGAGCTGGAAGAAGATACGGTAGGTTTCTACGAGAGACGGATCCAGCCTTGGCGGGCTTCTATTACGGGGAGGGGCTTTCCCCCCCCGTCCCCCGTGCACGGGGGGAACCGGGTCGAGCCCCCCCCCCCCCCCTTTTGCAACTCCTGGGGCGGGCGGGGTCCGTCCACCCCCCGGTTTGAACGCCCACCACTTCCCTTGCACTGGGGGGTGGTGCAGTGCGAGCCCCCCGCCTTGCAACTCGGGGGGGGGGCCCGGGTTCGAATCCCCTCCTGCCCTTGAAAAGGAGGGGGGGCTTCTGTTCGAACCCCCCACCCCCCCTGAAGGAAGGAGCCCTTCCGGATGGGGGGAACTGGTTCTCAGGCCATGTTCGATGTTTTGGGAGAGGGGGGCCAGTTCCACGTGTTCAAGTGTGTTCCTAAGACAAGCGTCCACGAAACGCGTTCTCTCAGCGGAACCGATCACACTCCAGCCAGAGCGGTGTGGAAGTTGATACCAGGCGACCACGACGAAGCCGCTTGCGGGAAATCCGTAGGCACGTCCGGGTGGCCCGCCGCGGCGAGGATCCCCCGGGCCCAGGCAGAATGCAAGAGCACAACCGTGCTACGACGCAGGAGGTCGCTGGCGACCTGGGCCTGGGCCATCCTTCGGGCCTTGAGATCACGGCACCCCCAGGGTCTCCCACGAGAGCGCAGTGGGCGGTGGGAGGTCGCGGGTGCTCAACGAATCGCATGCGCGGCCTTGCCCAGATGCCCGCAACCCAGCCAGCCAACATTTCCTTCAGTCAGTAGGGGACCGTTCCCGCTCTAGAAAGGTTCCCCATTCATTCCCGAAATGCTATCCTCCTCCTCCTCCACTTCCTCTTCTTCCTCCTCCTGCTCCTGCTCCTCCTCCCTCGTCCTCCTCCTTCTCCTCCTCCTCCTCCTCCTCCTCCTCCTCCCCACCTCTCTTACCTTCGCCCCCCCCCCTCCCCCCCCTCTCTTGCCACTCCTCCTGCCGGGAAGGGGCCACCGGGGGCCGCCCCCTGGCGTGCGACACAGGTGGATCAGAGCTGGCCTTGGAGCAAAAAGGGGGCCAAGGCGGTCGAGTCGAAGCTTGAGGGCGAGACCACCACCGTGGAGGCCCAGGGGGGACGGAGGCAGGAAAAAGACGGAGCGAGGGAAAAGGGAGGGAGGAGGGAGGGAGGAGGGCAAGGACGTAGGAGGGGGGACAACGGAAGCGGGAGGGGGAGGAGAAGAAGGAGTAGGAGGAGGTGGAAGACAAGGAGGAGTAGGAGGAGGGGGAGTAACGGGAGCAGGAAGGCAGAGGGATGAGGAGGGCAATGAGGAGGGGGAGAAGAATTATGAGGAGGGGGAGGAGGAGGAGAAGGAGGAGGAGCAGGAGGGAAGAAGCGCCCAGGGGATTGAGGTGGTCCTGCGCTCCAGAGCCACCTCAATCTGGGGCGTTTTGAGGGTTGGAGGTATGATGGCCCCTCTAGACTCTTGGGTGCCATCATACCTCCTCCCCATTACTCCCCTTCGTCGCCCTCGCTCCTCCGCTGCCTCTGCAAGGCTGCGGGTTCACTGCGGCTTGGCTCAAGCTGCTGGGCTCATCTACATTCTCTGTGCGCTCTCGGCCTACAGCTTACTGGCCCCGCGATCGGAGTGATCGCGGATCCCAGCGAGTCTTAAGCAGGATAGTTTGTTCACCAAACAGCTGTTGCATTTAGGGTTCGTCTTAAGTCAACATGTCTTATTTTTCACTACGGAATTGGATGTGTCTGGCTTTCGTCATGTTGCCGCCCGAGCCCTCCTCGTGGCCGCCTCGTGCTCTGGGTGGTTTTGGCGAGGGCTCGCCACATTTGCCGCTTGTGGCCGTCTCGTGGCCACCTCTGGCTTGCAGATCGCCCCACAGTTTACACATTGCACCACATCGCTTACACATCCAAGGTGCAATATCGTATTGCGCATGTATCGTATTGCGCATTTCTGGAACAGGGGTGAGAGTTTCTTGATCTTCCATCTTGGCCTGCCCATGTGCTTATCATATCTAGTTGTTTTTCTTTCTCTCTCTCTCTCTCTCTCTTTCTCTCCCTCTCTCTTTGTATCCCTTTGTGGAACGCATGACGGAGCGGATTCGTAGGCGTGCTCGATCGCCCCGCGTGGGATGTGCCTCGACGGCCCCATCAGTGCTTCGTTCTCTTCGGAGGCAGCGCAGGCAGGGGAGTCGTGCTGTTGATGGCACTCTGGCTGCTCGGATTGACGACCGCAAAGTTCCTCTAAGTGCGAAGCTTCGGCGATGCGGCGCGATCCTCCGACCTCATCTACTCGCACCCCATGTGGGAGGCCTCTATCTCTGGCCGTCGCGCGCGCCGACGCGACTGCACCCCTCGTGCCGCCGTGGTGAGCGCCAGACTGGGAATGGAGGAGCGGGCAGCCTCGGCCACGGCGAGCCTCGGCCACGAGCAGGCTCCTCAAGCCTAGATCCAAGGAATCTGGGTAGTCGAAGGCCAGACTGTCAGATTGGATGGGGCCCCAAGGGCCAATCTGGCCCGGCCAAACTGGATAATTTGGGTTATTCGCCAGACTGGATTCGCGTTGGCTCCCTCGCCAGATTGCCCCCGTTTGCCAGATTGGGCCTGCCAGATTGGCGCCAGATTGGCTTCGACTACCCAGGGAGTGGCCCGGAAGCCAGAGCCCTCCTGCCCCCGAAGTGGCCCTTGTTTCAGTTGTCTCCGTGCGAACAGTCGAGGGGCGGGGCCGGGCCGCGGCGGCGCAATGGGAAGGGCGGGGCAGGCCGACGCTGCCAAGGCTGGCGCAGCCTGGTTACGCGGCGACAGCAAGGCAGGGAACTCCAGGAATACACTCTAGACGATGCTAAAGAAAACCCAAGTTTTCGGCCAGAGTTTCGATTATTCTTAACGTTTCAATGTAAATCCCAAGAGTTGAAGAGACATTCTGGGTTTGTGATTCGAATTCTGAGACTATGAATGTCTTAACCCATGATTTCTCAAGCATGTCGCAGGGCGTACAGAGCAGGAGGTCGAGGAAGGCGATCATCAGCTGGGTGGCTGGTTGGCGTCGCAACTCAAGAGCTCAGGCGAAGGAGGAGGCGACAATCCGGAGCGAGGCGACGACCTGCGACGAGGCCGACCAGGAGCCGCACGGGAGACCGGCCGCCTGCACGGCAGCCACGGCCCTTATTCACGCCAGTGTAGGTGCCGCCGTTGCGCGAGGCGGATATCACAGACGGCGTCGGTAACGGTTTGACGGCAACGGACAGAGCAGCCTAGCAAAGGCGGAGCGACGGACCGTTCAGGGAGCGGTGGGGGCTTGGTGTCGACGGGAGAGTTCAGCAGCCCCACGTGGCTGCGCAGGTCGAGACAAGGCCGACACACTGGAGCAGCACGAGGGAAAAAACGACTACCTTAGCTCCCGTGTGTCAGCACGAAAGTGTATCCTCTCTTTTGCCCGACGTCTGTAGCGATGTGGGTTCAGGCGTTCGGCCGTTCCAGAATACAGGTTGGGCGTTGAAGCTCGCCTTTGGGCTTGGGCCCTCGACGCCGCGCCGCGGCGGATGCGAAGAGAGCGCTTCCCTGGCGCCAGCCATGCCAGCGCGCAGGGAGGAAGGCAGACGGGGCCGAGGCGGAAGACAGCGAAGGAAAGGCGAGAGCGAGCGGCTCCGCTCCATGCAACGCTTCTGGACGGGAGCCAGGCCGTCGGGCGAGCGGGCGCCCCCTCCCGCCGAGTTCGGAGCCAGACGACGAAGATCGGCAGGAAGTCCGCGAGGGGCACGGTGCCGCGAAGGTCACGCCCAAGACGAAGCTGACGTTTGCGGTCTAACGGCATGGCCAGGTTCACACGCGGCCACGTCATAGCGCACAACCCAACCACGCGCCACGATTGCAAGGTCGAATACGGCGCGATCTCCTGCTTAGTTCAGGCTTCTGAGGCCGGCAAGACGCCATGCTTCCAGAGCAAGAGTTCGATCGTCGCACACGAGCACGTTGCCAGGGCCATGTGCGACGAGTTCTCGAGGGCGCTCGTGAACGCGAACCCAGACCCATCGCTCCCGCGCCACTAGACGCGTTTCAGGTGCCACGGGGACAAACAGCACGGCGACGCAGAGTAGTGGCTCAGGCCGGGCACCTCCAGCCTAAGGTCCGAGTGGCTTAATTTGACAACAGGCAGAAGAAGGAGCCGTCGACGCAACAGACCAAGACCAGCGAGCTCGCCATGGAAGCGGAGCTCGCCCACAAAGCACATGAATGGGCCCGTGGCCCCACGCGTCGACCTGGCTAGGATCTACGAGGCCGCCCTGAAGGACGAACGTCTGCGATCTGCTGCAAACCCCACAATCGCCTTCGGCGAGGACAACCACACAACGCCCGCGCGCCCGCGCTGCAGGACGCGCCCCCCGCCCCCACCCCCACCGCCCCCCCGCCCCCCGCCCGCCCGCGCGCGCGCCGAAGAGCCAGGGGGCACCACCACTGGGGGCCACTGGAGGCGCGCGCTCAAGAGCTGCGGCCGCAGGCGGTCGGAGAAGCGCGCCGACGCGCGGGAGTTCCCGCCATCAACCCGCCGCGCTCCATCATCGAGGAGGGCGACGTGGAGCTGGCCGGCGACGAGCAGGTTGAGCGCGCGAAGCAGACCCAGGAGCGCGGCCCAGAGGGCCAGGCAAAGATGGCCTACTTCGGCCACGGCCACCAACCTAGAGCAGGCGGGCACACTGACGGCGCGAAGGACGGCCAAACTGACGCCCGCCATTTGAAACACGGAGGGGACAAGAGCCCCTTGGACGGACTGGAACAGAGGGGGGCCCAGCGCGATCATGGACGCGCGCAACGACGGGGGGTTGCAAGACGCCTCGCGAAGCAAGCGCCCGCGCGCTCGGGGGAGAGGAACACCGCGGACGAGCTCGGGAAGCGCAACGTCCGCGCTCGCTGCGAGGCCTCGCGCCTCGCCCAAGACAGGCCCACGTGCAGTTGCCGCGCCATCAGCCCGCCCGCGGGCTGCCCCATCCTGTCGACGCGATAGGGCGCTCGACTGTCTGCCCCCTCTCTTCGACGCATCGGACCCACTGGCGACCCCAAGGCCAAGACGGACAAGAGGAAGGGGCGGGCGGCGACGCCGTGGAAGCGCGCGCTCGAGCACCAGCCGTTGGCCGCAGAGGACCTGAGCGAGCGCCGCGGCGAGCTCTGATCGAGAAGGCGCAGCGGGCCTCGACGCGGCGCCCGGGCAACGGAAGCGGCGGCGCCCCGCGCGACCCGCCGGGACAGGAGCGCCACCGTCGCTCAGGGACTGGTCGCCGCGCAGCCCGAGGCAGCCGGCCACCGCGAAGCCACGGCGCGCCGCGCCCCAATTGATCGCGAGACGCGGGCGGCCCAGGCGTTCGCGGCTGCGAGCGCGACGCGAGGCCCCACGCGACCCATCGGAGCGGGGCCTTCGCCAGCGCCGCGAGAACGCGCGAGACGACCGCGCGCGGCCCGGAGCGCGCCGGGAGCTGCGACCTCCCGGGGCGGCTCGCCAGCGCGCCGCCGCGGCCCCCCGCCGGGAGCGCGAGGGCGGGCGCGCCCAGGTCGCCCGCAGAGGGGCGGCAGGAGGACACCGCGGAGATCCCGGGATTCGAGCCAATCGAAGACCGCTCGGCAGGCAGATCTTCAACCGCGCGCGCCCGGCAGCACCAGGGCACCGCCCGACAGAGCGGGCCAAGGACGGAGGCAAGCAGGCCCGCCGAGGAAAAGGCTAGGCCCGCTCCGCGCCCGCCAGACAGGCACAGCGCAGACAGAGGGAGGCGACGCATGCGAGTGCTGCGCGGGGTCGGGACCGACCGCCAGACGACGAGGCTCGCCTCCCCGCGGGCGACAGGGTGGCCCGAGGGAAGACAGGCGGCAGTAGGATAATTCCTCGGCGCCGCGCGGCCAAGGACCAGGCGCCCCCGGCAACAGAAGAACAAGCACATCCGCCCCCCCAGCCGAAGAGGACAGGCTCCGACGACGGCGGCGAGGCGACTGCGAGCGCGGGCGGCGACGGGGCCCCGCGCGACCCATCCGAGACCAGGGCCCCGCTGGCGCGCGAGCGAGGGCGGGCCGCTGGGCAGCCAGGCGAGCATCCAGGGCGAGGGGCGGCCACCACCTCACTCGCAACCTCCGGCAACCGGGGAACGCCGGCTGAAGAGCAGGAAGTGCACCGGCGGCACCCTGGAACGGAGAGAGGCGCACGAGGGGGGGCGCGAGCGAGAACGCGACGACCACTCCGCCCAGCGGCGAGACGGGAGGAGGCGCAGCCGAGGCCACGCGGGGAATGGCACCAGGAGAAGGCACCCCCGAGGGGGAGGGGGCACGGGGGGGCGAGGGGCACTGGGCGACGAGGCAGACGACGGCGACATTGGGGCGCGGATGGAGATGGCATCTGGGCGCCCAATCACACCAGAGGAGTACGAACGGCTGCGGGAGAGGGCGCAGCAGCTGAGCGCACTGCGCGAGGACCAACCGAGGCAACGGCCCGGCGGAGGACGTCGGAGCGGGAGGCGAGCCCCATCGACGAGGACGGGTCGACCTCGGAGGAGGAGGAGGACGCGCCAGCGACGCCGACGGCGCGGCGTGTCATTGCCCCGCTCCGCAGGGGTGGCGGCCCCCAGGGTCAGCCGCGGACGCCGCTTGCCCGACGTCTGGCCATTCGGGTTCAAGCGCTCGGCTGCGCGGCTGGTGCTTCGCGCCCGGGGCCCCAGGCACCGCCATTTATCAAAAGAAGCATCACCGTTACCACATTCACCCCCTCTTAGGGGTTTTGCGGGGATTCAAATACATCATTCCGCGATGTTTGCTGTCCGATCTCCTGTCTTGCCCCCCCCAGCATCAACATTCATTGGCGCGCGCGGCGCAGCTTGCGAACGCCAGCGAAAAATATGAAATTATGTTTCGCCGGAGGCGCCAACACTACGCGAGCAACAATTGTTTTTGTCAGTTTCGCGGAGGGATGTGTTGCCATGGCCCCAGGTGCGCGGATGGAGCTGCAAGAGATTGCACGCGCGGTCGACGAGGCCGACGCCGCGGCGCCGACGGCGGCGGCATGGGCTGAAGTGGAGGCCGACTTGGGAGTTCGAGCACAGGCGAACGACGAGCATGACAGTGCAGTACACAAGCTTTGCGCCAGCCGGCGTGCGAGCACGGAAGAACCAGCACAAATCAAATGCTCTGCCACGAACGCAGCGTAGCATTTCACACGCGAGCTGCTCCGCCCCCGCGGCGAGACAATACAGCCAGCCGCGCGAAAGAGTTGACAGCTTGCTCCATGGTTGTCGCGGTCGACCATTGTCGGTTGCCGCGACGTCGACAATTATTTTGACCGCCGACCGCGCCGCGCATGACCACGCGATGGTGAGGTCAGTGAGCCCTGGCGAGATGGTGCACACAGGCGAAAACAGCATGAATTTACACCACTGCGCCATCGTCAGTTTTTGTTCGAACATCGTCGATCAGAGTAGAGTTGGAGGTTGACCGCGAGTGCGCGGGCCTGTGCGACTACAGCGTGACATTGTCCTCTCCCCCTTTTGCTGAATCGTACTATTATACAGCTGTGGCAGCTGTCCGGGGCGCACCCGCAAACCACAACTACAGGTTCGGAAGTGTTGTTCCGAACGCCACGCAAAAGCAGCAACAACACCCGAAAGACGAACGAAGGCTTTGCGCCCAACCCCGTCCGCATCAGCGGGCGCGCGGTCCAAACGCCCTTCCCCCCTATAGAATTCTGAAGGGGTTTCCGCTTGATGGGAGGCCCCTGGAGCGATCAATTCCTTTCATTCGAATTGCATGCAGGAGAGTGAATGAAGCCCGGTTTGGGCGATTCGGCTTAGGACGTCTTCAGAACCTGGTTTGGCCGCGCGCTCCCCGCCTGAGACATCCTCAAAATCTGCCGTGTTCGGCCCCGTTGTTTGGCTTGGTTTGCTTGGTTTGGCCTTGGCTTGGCTTGGTTTGAGCCCCGTTCCGCCTAAGACGTCCTCGAAAGTTGCCTTGCTTGGCCCGTGGTTTGGCATGGTTTGGGTCCAGTTTTGCGGAGACGTCCTCGCAGTTTGCTTGGTCTGGCCCTGGTTTGGCTTGGTTTAGGCACCGTTCAGCGCCCCGTTTCGCTTGGGACGTCATAACCGACGTAATTTCATTGTGCGCAATGAAGACCCATTGTGGTCGACACATAGCACGGCTGCGCTACAAAACGACGGGCGGAATGGCGTCCGCCCGTGCGCCCCTTTGCAGAAGAACGCGCATGTGATCTGCCCTCCCCTGAAATGTCTCCCTCCCTCCCCTTACGTCTCTCTTGCTACCCTTGTCCAGGGACGTTGCACATGTGCAGTCAAAACTCATAACAAGGACGCACGGATGTCTGCTTAGTACCCCTGCGTCCTTGCCTCTGCGGCCCGTCCTTCGTGGTTTTCACTGGCAAGCCTTTCAGGGGAGGTTGGCAGTCCAAGGCCCTTGCGTCTTTACCACCTGACCTTCCTACAGATTTCGACTGTAGTCGGCAGGCCGACCGACGTCCGCAAGTCACTCAGGAGGCGAAGCTGTGCAACGGGGCAAATCCCACTGAAATGCGCAACCTGCCCCGCCAACGTTTAGCGGGACAGGGGTGCAGCAGTTCGCCGCTGTCTTGAGAAGCCGGCGCGCGCCGTTGCTCACACGCTCTCCGCGAAGAGGTTGCACCCTTGCTTTGGCTTGACCAAGGACCCTCTCGCCTTGGATTTGCCAAGGACCCTCATCGAGAAAGGCAAACCCTTCCTTGGCTTTGCCAATGAAGGGCCTAATTACCTTCCCCGAGGCTGCTCCGACGGACGCCCCCCCCCCCCCGCTGGCCTCATCAGAAGCAGTATACATACTCAGAGTCATCATCAGCAGCAGCAGCATCAGCATCAGCATCACATCATCATCCTCAACATCATCATTATCATCAGCATCATCATCAGCATCGTCATCAGCATCATCATCACCACCATCATCTTAATCATAAACACCAGCTTCATCATCACCATCAGCATCGTCATCAACAGCAGCATCATCATCGACCTCATCCTCGTCATCATCACCCTCATCCTCATCCTGATCCTCGTCGCCACCAGCATCACCATCATCAGCAGCATAATCCTCATTACCCCTATCGTCATCATTACCATTGTCAGCATCATCAGCAGCATCATCACCATCATCCTCATCATCATCAGCATCATCCTCATCATCATCAGCAGCATCATCATCCGCATCCACATCCTCATGCTAATCCTCATCCTCCTCGTCATCATCATCACCCCCCCCCCTGTTTCGTTCCCCTCCGTCCCTGCCCCCCCACGTGTCCTCGTATCCCTCCTCCGACCCTCCTCTCTCCTGCTCCCTCTGCTCCGCTGCCGCTCCTCACTCCGCCCTCCCACCCTCCCTTGTCCGTGCGCCTCTCCCCCTCATCGTTGCCCCTGGGTCTGGGCATCTGGGCGACGGCTGCAGGAGGGCTGCACCCTCCTCCCCTTGGAGCGAGTACCCTCGTCGCAGGGAGCTGTTCTTGTCCCCCCCCCTCCCCTCGCTCCTCCTGCGCCCCACGACCCGGCCAAGATCCCACTCCTGGAGCGCGCTCTGACCAGGACTGGGGCGGCGAACCCGGCCGCGGCAGCGAGAGCTCCCCCGAAGGCCCGACGGCCCCGAGACGACCCATTCTCACTCTCGGTTAAGCCTTCGCACGAACATTTTGCCGACTTCCCAGCTTCGCATCCGATGCGCCGAGTGCAATCAGACCTCTGATGGGGCGGGCGCTTGCCAGAGAGAAAAAAAAAAAAAAAAAAAAAAAAAAAAAAAAAAAAAACGCCAGGAGCCCCTTGCCTCGTCCTCCCCGCGCGGGCCTCGGGGGCGCCCAGAGCGCGGCCGCGGCGCCGAGAACGCGTCCTGCGGCCCTCGCGGTCCCGGAGCTCCCCCGCGCTGCCAGAGCCCGAGCCTGCCTTTCTCACGCCCCCGCCGCATCCCCTGCCCTCCCTCCCTCGACTCATCCTCTCCCTCCCTCCCCCATTCCTCCCTCGTTGGGCGCCCTGGCGCGGACGGCCGAACGACCCCTGCAGCGGGACACCCTGGCCACGCGGTCGCCGCCGCAAAAACTGCCCGTTCAAGGCTGGCGCCGCGCACAGGCGGGCGGCGCCGAGCGGCGCCGCGCACGGTCGCGCCCCGTCCCCCTTGCCCTCCTGCGCCCGATCCTGCCCTCCCCCGTCCCCCGTCGCCCCGTCGCCCCGCCCTCCCTCCCTCCCTCCCGCCGGCGCGCAGGCCCCCGCCCCGCAGCAGGCGCAGAGGGCCTCCACGAAGATCCCCTCGCAGCCCGGCTGCTACATGCGCATGCTCAGCGGGTGCCCGAAGGAGCCCATGAGGACGTTCCTGTGGAGGCGGGGCCCCTCCCTCGAGGGCGGGGGGAGGAGGTGGGCGAGGAGGAAGGGTATCAGCAGGGAGGAGCAAGGAGGAGGAGGAGGAGGAGGAGGAGGAGGCGATGGAGAGAGGGAGAGAGGGAGAGGGACGGCGCGGATGACCAGCGGCCTCCATCCAGAAGCAGTTCTGCCACCTCGGTTGTCTGCGACGGGTGCCGTTCGAGGCGGGAGCCACATCGGCCTCACCGCGGGCGAATTTGCTCAGAACCGCTGCACCTGCGGGAGTGAGCTTGCGAGTGCACTCAGTTCTCCATGTCTGAGAGTTGCGGATCGCATGTGACTCCCAGCTCACACGCACAAACACACACACACACAAACAAACAAACAAACAAACAAACAAACAAACAAACAGCAAACAAACAAACACGCACACACTTTTTGAGCGTCGCGACCCTGCGCGCGGCTACAGGGCGTAGAGGGTCGGAAAACAGTGAAGCGCGCGCGTCTACGCCCGCCCGGGTACTCAGAACACACACACACACACACACACACACACACGGTTACATGTACATTGCAGTTGCCATGAACATTCACTTCGTGAGATGGATCGACTAAGCTCGTCCCAATGAAAACACGGCTGGAAGCATGGCAAGTTTGTCTGGGATCACAAGATCCCACTCGCGGTTTCGCAGGCCCACACGGGGTCCCGAGAAAGTCATGGGTTGGCGTGGTCACCGTACGCAGTTGCTGATGCAGCAAACAGGTAATTGGGTGCTCGCGTTCGGCTTGGGCTTCGATTTTGCCTTCGCACGAGCTCTTATCGGCGGCGAGAGAGGGGGGAAGTGAGAAGGACAAGACCTAAGAAGTCGGCGTGTCTTCTCAGAAACCTTCCGCCTTCTGAGAAGTATCATATGCGTTTCGGGAAAGCTTGGAATAATTATCAGAAGGCTGGGCGACCTCCGAGCCTTCTAAGAAGGCCCGCCCCTTCTCACTTCCCAGGCGCGCCGCCTATCTTACCCGAGGAACCGAGTTGCTCTCACCCTGCACGTGTGCGTACCGAACGCGGGAGAACGTGCGCAATGCTTGCAGCCTCGACCTTCTCTTGATGCTAGCTGGATTTGCTCGTTGGCGTGCTACGCAGATGTCTCTGCCACCTGACTGACAACATGCGCAGGCTGCGCCCAAATCTGGAGGCACGTGGCTGACGCCGAGAGGTCGAAAACCATGTGTGACGGGCGACAGCAGCTGCGCGGAATCGAGGCGCCGCTGAGCGCTCGCCGCGTCCCCAGATCCGAGCAGGGCAAAATGCCTCCACCTCGCTCGGCGGGACGGTGACCTCCGTTCCTGGTGGCCCCCTGGGGGTCCCTTTTGGGCGGAAGACTCGGATGTTCGACCCGTGCTCCCCCCCCTCGGGTCCGTCCGTGGGCTGCCCTCTGGCCGCCCTGGGCACCCCCCTGGGGCCCTCCTGGGTGGGGACCTCGTGGGCCGTCTTGGAGCGTCGGCAGCTGGAAACGTCGGCCCGAGAGGCACACGGAACAAGCCACGGAGAAGCCATACGTTTGGCCTTGGGGCCCTCCCGGGAAGGCTCCCTTGGGGCGCACTCGGTGCTTCTGGGGGCCGCCTCGGAGCCACCTCTGGAGTCCTGGGCCGATCGTGCGGCGATTCGGGGCTCTCTTGGGTCGTCTGGGCGGCCTCTTGTGTTGTGGAAGACGATTAGAGAGGAAGCATGCTGCCAAGTAATTTCCATATGTTTTAAAGATGTATCGGACATGCTTTAAACATGAATCACATGATTGAAACATGTTCGGGACATCTTGCCGACATTTTAAACACATGTTGAATTCGATGATAGGACTGTCAGGGTGTCCATTGTCGTGGCATCCACAACTCTTGTGGCCTTCTGGGCCCGTCCTGGGTCCCGGCGGCAACGCTCGGGGGAGCCCAAGGGGGCACGCCGGGAGCTGCGGTGCTTTCGGGGGCTCCGGGCCCCCCGTTTCAAGAAGCCTCGGGATTGAGGGCCGAGGCTCCAGTTGAGTCGGGCCTGTCCCTCTACAGGGGGAGCATTCAAAAATGGTCAAAAAATAGTCAGGGGACGGTTTTGTTTGACCATTTTGGATTATTTTTTGATCTGTTGGGCTACTCTTAATTTTTCGTCCCAAAAAAAAATTGCAGGGGGACAGGCTTGGCCTAAGGCTTCAGGGATTAGGCCAAGGACCTGAGAGCACTCCAACTCGTGCCTCAGGCGAATCTAGTCCACCCGTCCGCTCTGCAAGATGTGGGTCGACGTTCGCGCGGCGATGTTCTGTTGTTGTAAGTCCGACGTGAGGAACCCCGATTCCAAGATCCCAATGGCTGCTGTGGGTTGGCAGACACGTCAGGAACCAAGCCCATGGGCCCCGACGGGTCCTACTCGAGGCTGGGAAGAGTGCCGATGATCGCTCGCCATCGGTGCCTCCTCGAAAGTTTTCCAGCCTCGGGATGCGTTCCAGAAGTTGCGCCTCGCCGAGGGCGTTCTGAGGTTGTCAGAATCTTTCCGAACGGCCGCCAGAGAGCCGAATTTTTTACCCGAAAATCCAGAGCCCCCCCTTTCCCCCGTTCTCTCCCCCCTTCCCTCCCCACCCCCCTTTCCTTCCCCTCTCCCCCCTCCATTCCTCCCCCTGAAGAAAGAGAGGACAGAGGCGGGCGAAGCAGCAAAAGCAGGCGGGCGAGGTCGAATCGTCCCGTCCACACCACTCCACCCCCGCCAGATGGCCAGCACTTTCCTTAGATAGTAGTTCACGGAAACTTTCGCTCGTCTTGGCTTGAACGCACATCGGCGAATGGGCGCCACAGCGCCCAACAGCGCCGTGCAGCGCCAAAGGAGCCCTCAAATAGTGCCCAATAACGCCCAACAGCGCCCACTAGCACCAAGCGAGGGAGATTCGTCATGTCCGCCTGGCGCGCGATGGGGCGCGCTGCCGGGGACGAGAGCGGGGGTCGGTTACAGTCGGGGCCCTGAAGAAGGAACCCGTTTCGTTGGGGAGGGGCTCCGCGTTCCTCAAGTGTTTCACAGCTTGCCTCAGGTTTTCCTTATGTTTTCGATTGGAAATCGAAGGTGAACTGCCTTGCTGGCGGAGGCTGGCTTTGCCGATCGGGCGGAGGCCGCGCAGCGCGGGCGTGCTGTCATGGCGAGGCGTGCGGCCGCCCAGGAGCCCTGAGCAGCCGGGGTGCTCTTTGACGCTTCTGCTTGCACGATTTGTTTTCGAAATGTTGTTCCTTCATGGTTGTGTCGGCAAAAAAAAAAAAAAAAAAAAAAAAAAAAAAAAAACGCCCCGACTGTACGACAGCACTCGCGCGCCGGCCTCCCGCGGCGGGTCGCGCGCCGGCGCCGCCCTCTTCTCCGCGCCGGCGGGCCCCAGCAGGCGGCCCGCGCAGGCCGCGGCGCAAGGTCACTGCGTCCTCTCGCGCAGGACCCGCCTCCCTCCTCCCTCCTCCCTCCTCCTCCCTCCTCCCTCCTCCTCCTCGTCCTCCTCCCTCCTCCTCCCTCCTCCACGTCCTCCACCCTCCTCCTCCTCCTCCTCCTCCTCCTCCTCCCTCCTCCTCGTCCTCCTCCCTCCTCCTCCGTCCTCCTCCTCATCCTCCTCATCCTCCTCCTCATCATCATGCCCCGCCCCCCTCCTCCTCCTCCTCCTCCTCCTCCTCCTCTTCCTCCTCCTCCTCTTCCTCCTCCACTCCCTTCTCCTCCTGTGTGCGCAGCTTCCCATTTCCGATTGCGTTTTCCACGATCCCCCTTCCTCCCGCCCTCGCCGATTCCAGGTCGACGCGCGCCCCCCCATGGTGCCAGCCAGGACGTGGTGGGCCCCGCGCGCGGACGCGCGTGCGCCCCCGCGGGCGCCGCCCGCCATCGACGGCCTTTCTGCCTTCTCACCGAGGATGGCCCCCCGCGCGTCCCCCACCGCGGAGACGGACGGGGGCTCCTCCTCGGATCGAACCCGGTCTGTTTTGACGGACGTCGGTCTCTCCATGGTATTCTTAAGTCGGGCTTGTGTCTCTACGGGAGGCAGATTCAAAGATAGTCAAAGAATAGTCTGGGGACGATTTTGTTCACTATGTTTGAACATGTTTTGCGTATTTGTGCCTCTTTTTTATTCTTCGTCCACAGTCCCCCTGTAGGGGGACAGGCCCGACCTAATGGTATTCCCTGGAATTCCCTGTCGTTGCCCCTCCCCTCCCCCCCGTTCCTCCCGCCCTCGCCCCCCCCCTCTCCCCCGCGTCGCCTCGGGCGCCGCCGCGCCCGCCTCGGAGGCACGACCCCTTCGCCGAGGAGCGCGGCCTGGGCGAGGCGGACTGCCTGAAGCGCAAGTCCACGTGGGACCCGCGGGGCCTGCGGTTTCGAGCAGGGGTTCGACCACAGAGCCGATTCGCCCCAGGATTGGTTTTCTCTTCGGGTCCATGGAAAATGCGTTGGGCGTTCGTGGATCATCATACGCCTTTTCTGTCGTAGATTCGACGAGCAAGCCAAGGCAGGGGCAAATCAATCCTGCAGTCGATCTCTCACTTGAAGGTTCCAGGCTTCCCAGATGGCGTCGGACGGGGTCGGAGGGTCGCGCCGCATCGCCGATGCACTGGCGACGCGGCTCGATTTGGGGCCCGGTGTTCTCAGCGTCAACGTCGCCGATGCGTCGCCGACGTCGACGATGCATTGGCTGGGTAGTCGAAGGCCAGACTGTCAGATTGGATTGGGCCCCAAGGGCCAATCTGGCCCGGCCAAACTGGATGATTTGGGTTATTCGCCAGACTGGATTCGCGTTGTTTCCCTCGCCAGATTGCCCCCGTTTGCCAGATTGGGCCTGCCAGATTGGCGCCAGATTGGCTTCGACTACCCAGCCAGGTGAGCGGCGCAAACAACGGGGTCGTCTGCGCCGATATTGGCGCGCAAGCTGCCAGCGAAAGCCGCGGCGTAAGCGCCCGCGCTTCACGTGCGGCGTGCCGCGCCGGCGGCCCGCGCAGGCCGCGGCGTGAGGTCGCTGCGCCCTCTCGCGCAAGACCCGCCTTTGTCAGGAGGGAGAAAACACACAGACACAATGAATCGTCGATCCCCCAGAAAAGATGGGAAAAGATGGGAATTGGGCGGGAAGAGAGGAAAACCCAGAAAATATGGGAAAATGTGGGATGTGGGGCATGTTTTTACTTGTGTGTGTATTTATCTGTGTGCCCTGGGGCCCCATTCACAAACTTTGATCCTCGCCCACGTGGGCGGCATCTACAGACTGGCTCGCGGTGCTGGGCGCGGTCCCGGTGCCGCGCCCTGGGGGCGCCGGGGGCCGCCCGTGGCCCCGCGGAGGGACCAGCGGAAGGACTTCTGCTGACGCACCTCCACGGGAGCCTCCATGCATGGGCACGTCTCCGGGCCCCGCCTGTGGCCCCCGGGGCCTCCCGGGGGCCTGCCGAGAGCTCCCCGGGGGCCGCCAGGGGCTGCGCGGGTCTGCGGCCTCCACCTCCCCCCTCCTGCTCCTCCTCCTCCTTTTCCTCCTGCTCCTCCTCCTGCTCCTCCTGCTCCTCCTGCTCCTCCTCCTCCTCCTCCTCCTCCTCCTCCTCCTCTCCTCTCCTCCTCCTCCTCCTCCTCCTCCTCCTCCTCCTCCTCCTCCTCCTCCTCCTCCTCTTTCTCATAGGGTGCTCAGAGAACTGGGCAAGCCTTGCTATCCCAGTAAGGTCTCCACGAAGCGTCGTATTCCAGGACCGTCTCAGTCGGGGCCTCAGGCCCGAAGGCGGCCCGTAGTTTCTACTTGATGACATCGTCATTGGTCCCATTCCCACTCACATTTCTCCAACATCAGCATCCCTCCTTCATCATTCCCTACCCCCTCCTTGTTCCTTTTCTCTGCCCCACCCGTGCTCTTCATGAATAGCTCATCCGCGTCGCGCTCCCAGACGTGTTGGTGATTAGAGTGGGCCGGGCGTTGCGCTGGAGGCTCCTTCGCCGCTTATGATCGTAGAGTTTGAAATGCGCAGCAGCTTCAGAGATGGAGGGCGGATCGGTTTCAAAATGGAGCTCTCGCATTAGCGCCGCGCACATGTGCCTTATAAGTTGCATCAACCATAAGGACGAAGCACAGATCGTTTTCAAAGTGAAGCTCTCTCTCTCTCTCTCTTGCTCGCCCTGGCGCTGCGCACACTCGTTTTCAAAGCGTCGAGGGTGGAGGGTGGACCGTTGTGAGAATGGGTGTCTCGCCTTAGCACCGCGCACATTCGTCTCAAGAGTTCGCAACAGTTCAAGGATGGATCGTGGTTCCTTTTCAAAATGGGGCTCACGCCTCACGCCTGAGCGCCACGCACGTTCGATTGAAGAGTTTGCAGCAACTCCAAGGATGGAGGGCCTTCGCGCTGCGCACGTCCGTCTTCAAAGCTCGCGACCTGTTCAATGATGGAGAGCAGCTCCTTGTTCCAGTGGGGCTCCCGCCTCGGCACCGCGCGCAGTCGTCGTGGGAGCTTGCAACAGCTACGATGACGGCGGAAGCGGGTCCTTTTCAAAGCGGGGCGCTGCTGCTGGAGATTATAAAGGTCGGCGGCCAGTCGGGCGATGACTTCTGAGGCCAATACTTCTGCACTGCACGTGTTGACGCTGTCTCGTCATTGCGAACACCAGTTCCTATCGAGACGCGCTTCCTGCGGAGAAAAAAAGTAGAGGTCGGCGGCCAGAAGCTTGAACCGGTGCAACAGCCGCACGGAGGAACTCCTCCTCCTCCTCCTCCTCCTCCTCCTCCTCCTCCTCCTCCTCTCGCGTGGCCTCCCGAAGGAAGGGGCAGAACCAGCAGCGAGAGGAGGAGGAGGAGGAGGAGGAGGAGGAGGAGGAGGAGGAGGAGGAGGAGGAGGAGGAGGAGGAGGAGGAGGAGGAGGAGGAGGAGGAGGAGGAGGAGGAGGGAGGGAGGAGGAGGAGGAGGAGGAGGAGGAGGGAGGAGGGGAGGAGGAGGAGGAGGTCCTGCCTGGCGAAATTGGGCCGCTCGCTCGAGGAGTTCTCGGGGCCTACAGGCCAGCAGCCTGGGGAGTATGGCGCCGCTGCGCGGGTGGAGGGCAGTGCCTCTTCCGAAGGAGTCTCCCCCCTGCCTGGCGAAATTGGCCGCTCGCTCGTCACTGAGGAGGGCGAGGAGGGCGAGGAGGAGGGCGAGGAGGGCGAGGAGGAGGGCGAGGAGGGCGAGGAGGAGGGCGAGGAGGACGAGGAGGAGGGCGAGGAGGACGAGGAGGAGGACGAGGAGAAGGGTGAGGAGTATGGCCAGCAGCTGGGAGTATGGCGCGGCGAGGAGGGAAGATCGGAGCCAGAGAGTGAGGAGCGTGGCAGCAGCAGTGCCTCTTCCGAAGGAGTCTCCCGTCTGGAGATGTCCTCGACGCCCCTGGCCAAAGGGATTCTATCAGGAGGGAAAGAAACACACAGAGACACAATGAACCCTCCATGCCCCAGAAAACATGGGGAGAATATGGGAAGTGGTGGGGAAGACAAAGACCCAGAAAATATGGGAAAATATGGGGAATCTTTTCATTTGTGTGTATTTATTTGGGTGTCCTGAGGCCCCTTCATTATACCCGTGGGGCATGCTTGCTCAGAACGGTGATCTCGCTGGACACGATGCAAGGCAGTCAGTTCCTCTTCAGATTGGGCCTCTGGCCTTGAGTGGCACGCCCACGGGGTGTTGGTCTGACAAGGAGGCGTCGTGAAGTGCAAAGGACAGCTTCCAAGGCAGGCGCTTTTGAGGAGGGGATTTGGGACGGGATTGTAGCAGCGTTGACACATCTTGGCTTTACTCTGGTCATCCCCCTCCTCCTTGCCCCTCCTCCTCGTCCTCCTCCTTATCCTGTTCCTCCTCCTCCTTCCTTCTCCTAGCGTGCGGAAGAGGAGGGAGATGGAGGAGGGAGATGGAGGAGGAGGAGGAGGAGGAAGGCGTGAGGAAGCAAGCTTGAGGTGGAAAGTGGAGGCAGGAGTTGCGAGCGATCGATCGGCCTCTCTCATCTGGGATGGTCGAGCCTTCGGAGCGCGCAGGCAGCATCCTATATGTGACGTCTGGTGGCTGCGCGCGTCAAGCCCTCTCGACCGCGGGGAAACAATTCCGCCGCACATCCGGGCAGCGGCGAGGAAGGTGCACGACAGGATGCAAACAGTGGGGGCGCGCATCAAGAAACCGTATGCTTTTCGTCAGGGTATCTTTGGTTTCTTCGCTCCCCGCGCTGCGTGGTGACCTCCCGCAGCCGCTGAGGGAACTGCTGTGTTCAGGGTGCCTCCAGGTTTTCCCCCTCAGGTGCGCCTCGCGCGCGGGTTCTCAGGGTTGGGTTTCTTGCGAGGATTGCTTGCGGCCGCGCCCGCACTGTGTGTCGTCGCAGCAATGTTGTGGCATTCAAGTCTGGATAAAGGTGGCTTGATTGGTACGCGTGGAGTTGGTAATCCGTTTTGTCATTCCAAGGCAGACTATGGGAGGAGAGGTCGACCTTCTAGCGGCGGGTAGAGCAGTGGACGGCATAGCGTGGCATCGCAAAACAACAGCCCGAGCGCGTGGCAGGAGCGCCCACGAGCGTGTGGGATTTTGATGTGCGGGGCTGATCACCAAGAGCACATTCCATGGAGGTTATTCCAAGGAGCTTGAAGACAGTCCACCTCGTGCCTCAGGGCACGGTGGCAGACATGTGTAAGTATTTGTATATAGACACAGACATACACACATGCATACACATAAGAAAAAATGTGTGCATGCACATCTGCATATACCAGGAAATTGGTCATGGTTTGCAATCGGCACGGACGGCTGGATAGATATAATCTAATCCGTCATCGGGTGAGCGAAGATGGGGGTGTGGGTACCCGTTACTTGCCAGGGGCACCAGCGATCCATTCATATTGGTTTTGGCCAGGCCAGATTTGGGCTTAGTATCTGTGCATACGCGCTCCTGGCTTGGCTTCGAAGGTGTATCCGATTCTCTCCCTCCTATCCTCGTCATCCTTCATATTCCTCTTTCCGACTGTTCCTCATGCCGTTCTTTCATCCGCGCCATTCTTTCCTCCCCTTTTCTCCATACTTCGTCCTTGCCCGCCTCCTCTTTGCCTCCCTCCCCTTCCTCCCAGTCCCATCCTCATCCCTCCTCCAGCCTTCCCTTCCTCATCGCCGTTCCTCCTTTTCGCTCCTCCATCATCACCATCCCTGTTAATCCTCATCAGAATCTTCCCACCTGCCTCCTGCCTCCTCTTCCACCTCCTCATCCTCCTTATCCTCCTCCTCCTCACCCCATCCATCATCACCCTTATTGGGCCCAAGTTGCTCTTGTCGTGGTTATCCCCCACCTCCCCCCCGAGGACAAGCATTGCGACTCGAAGGACGCCGAGATGGTGTTCGTTGGCAAGGACGCCGCCCAGGCTGCCGACACGGTCCCGCCCGCGGCGGAGGCCGCCACTGCTGCGGAGGCACAGGGCATGTCCCTCGTCGTCGTCGTCGTCGGCGGCGGCAGCATCGTCGTCTACCCTGTTCTTCCTGCTCCTCCTCCCCCTTCTTCGTTCCTCATGTTACTTCCCCTCCGCATCAAGACGTTCTAGGACTCCATGGACTGGGTAAACCTCGGGCGGGCGCCTGGGCTTCCCGCCAGCCATCTTGGCCTTCGAGCTTTAGCATTATTTGACGGCCAGGATCCTCCCTCGCCTGTGGCGACGTCGCGTCCCTGGCGTTCCAGCGTTCCAGCCCACGCAGCCCATGAATCAGGGCCTCCGCTCAGGCACGAGGTTCGCGAGATACCTCACCGCATAAATTAAAGCATGAGTATATATATATATATATACACGGTGACCGAGGGTGCCCGATCTGCCGTGCTTCTGCCCTGGGCATGCGTCCATGACTTGTCGGAGGCGCTTGTTGGCACACGGCGGCGCGCACGCCTTGAGCCCACCAAGTGCGCGGTCTCGACTTGCGACGTCTTTGTCGCCGGCGGGCTCGCGGTCTCGCCCAAGAGCGATTTGGTCGGCAACTGTCATCAGGGCACCCTTCGCATGGTGCAACCTATCTGGAGGCCTGGGCACACAGTGTGACATTGTCAGCTCAGCTCGTTGCTTGGGCGTGGACATGGGCGTTGGACACGAGCTGGAGGAGGTGCTCGCTTCAAGAGCGTCGCCAAGGCCGAGGCCACGCATTCTCGTACTCGATGGCTCCGCTAGAGCCAGCAAGCGTGGCAGGACGTGCTCCAAGATTGAGCGGGCAGCCGCCCAAGCTCCTCCTCCTCCTCCTCCTCCTCCTCCTCCTCCTCCTCCTCCTCCTCCTCCACCTCCACCTCCTCCTCCTCCTCCTCCCTCCTCCCTCCTCCTCCTCCTCCTCCTCCTCCTCCTCCTCCTCCTCCTCCTCCTCCTCACGCTGGGGTTTCCAATGTGGCAGCACGGTGCTCGTCGTCGGCAGCGGGCCCAGCCAGCTCGGACGAGCATCCGCTTCGGGCCACGGGGCCCCGATCCCCAGCAGAGGTCTCGTCGGACCAGAGGCCCGATTTCGGCGGTGCAGACTGTGCTACTTGAGCACAGCTGGTCGCCGGTCGGGCCCACGGGCTGGATGAGGTGTCTGCCCTGACAGACGGCAGAAATGTTGGGTCTTCCCACGAGCTCAAAGCCTCACCAACGGCTCCGCCAACGACCTCATCGCGGCCTTCGACCAGTCAATCGTGAACGATTTGCGGCAGCAGGCGGCGTCTGGTTGGGCGGGCGACATCCTGCAGGATGGAGCCTGCCTCGCCGCCCTGCGCGACAGGCTGCCGGTTGGGCGCACTCTGCCGTGCCCGCAAGGGGCAGGCGTTCGAGGAGGCGATGGTGGCCATCGCACCTGCTGGCTCTTTGGACACGGCAGTGGTCCGAGGCGGGAATTTATACATGACCAGCGCCTGGAGGGTCCGTTTTCGGAGCCTCGGCAGGCGGTGGATCTGGACAGATTCGGGCACCCGGGGGCCGAAATCTATCCATATCCACCGCCCGCTGGGGCACCAGGACGTCGGTTCTCAGGCGGTGGATAGGGATAAATCCCCGCCTCGCAAGTGGTGCGCAACCCAAAGCGAAGACGAGGGCGTTGACGATCTCGACCATCGCTGTGGCCACGGCGTCGAGACGGACTTCCACCGCAGCCGCAAAGGGGGCAGGAAGGCCCGCGCCGTGAGCGACGAATTGACCCCGCGGGTTCGCGCCGAGGTCGGCGCCTCCTGCCCGCGCTTTTGGTTGCGGGGTTTTGCGCCGGCCACCTTGACGCGCGTTGTGCGTCCAACGACGTGCGAGAACAGGCTTCATGTGGGCTCTCCCGCGGCGGCTTCTCTCTCGGTCGAAGGTCGCCCACGCAGCCACTGGCCCTGAACGGCGACGCTGGCGGCGGCCACGAGTCAAGGCCTCCAATACTGCGTCGCGCAGGAGCGGCGGTCTGCAACCCGACACCGCCATCCTGGACAAGACGACGATGCTGGAACCTATTGGCGGGCCATCGGCAACCGGCGCATCGCGGCGAGCTCCGCGCGCGGCGCCTGGCGGCCGCGAAGTGCGAGGGCGCCGGCCTCCTCTGCGCCGACGAGTTCGGCCTGTGCGACGGCGGGCGGCCGCAGCTGGACCAGAGCGGCCCTGCGGGCCCGACGCGGGCCGATGGCACCGGCCGGGGCAGACGCCCCGCACTCGGCCGCGCTCGGGGACCTCCCCGTCGAGCGCGCCAGCTCGCAGCTCGCAGCCGCCGAGGCTCGAGCGACGGCAGCGCGGCCGCCGACGGCGCCGGCGGGCATATCGCGGCGCAGGAGGCGCGCTCCCCGGCTGCACGTGCAGGCGACCTGTGCACAGTGTCAGAGCCCCGAATCATCAGGGGTAACTCGGGTCAGGGCTAACTCGGGTTCGCTTTTCGGGATTCCGAACCCGACTTACCCCGGACCCGAGTTACCCCGGATAATTCGGGCGTCCAGAGCCCCGAATCATCAGGGGTAACTCGGGTCAGGGCTAACTCGGGTTCGTTTTTCGGGAATCCAAACCCGCGCTACCCCAGACCCGAGTTACCCCGGATAACTCGGGCGCCCAACAGTGGAGGCCCATGCCAGGAGACGCCCTGCTTGCCTCCAAGTCGGGGGCGGAAAAGAGGGGGGTGATGACCAGAGGGGGGGGGGATGTCATGGCGGGGGCCATGATAGTTCCCCAGATTTCATGGCGCCCCGACTTCTTTCATCACGTCCCTGGCCCCCCCGCTGGGCCGCGCACATGCCGCCGGCCATGACTTGCACCCCCCCCCTCTGGGACATCCCCCTCTTGGCCGCTCCCGATCCAGGGTGCCCCGGGCTTCTGGGGTGCCGACGGCTCTGCGATGGAGAGCGCGGCGGCTCCCGCACCGAGGGTCCATGGACGTCCTCCTCCTGCTCCTCCTCCTCCTCCTCCTCCTCCTCCTCCTCCTCCTCCTCCTCCCTCCTCCTCCTCCTCCCTCCTCCTCCTCCTCCGCCTCCTCCTCTCCTCCTCCTCCTCCTCCTCCTCCTCCTCCTCCTCCTCCTCCTCCCTCCCTCCTCCTCCTCCCTCCTCCTCCTCCTCCTCCTCCTCCTCCTCCTCCTCCTCCTCCTCCTCCTCCTCCTCCTCCTCCTCTTCATCCTCCTCCTCCTCCTCCTCCTCCTCCTGGACGTGGGGTCTCGGTGTTGGGCTTCTCGTGGAAGGCCTCTTCTGGTCGAGCTTCTGCCGCAGGGGGCGTGGAGGTCCTGGCTTCGCAGCCGCGCCGGCGGCTTCTCCTTGGCGTGCCTCGGCTGCTGCCGCAGCCG